ATGAGCGAATAGGTCTACAACCTATATCGACACTTTATAATATTGTGTCGGTACTTTATGTCCAGATTGGAAGAAAAATGTGTCGATACCATTTAAAAAAGTGTCGGTAATTTTAAGTAACGCGGTTTTTCTTCCTTCATTCAAAATATTTATATGTACATACAATAGGAGTCATGTTGATACTTACGATATATTATATGGAGATCGTTGTCATTCCATTCCGTCTTCGAAAAAATCAGTTGATGTAGGCTGTGTGCTTGTACTCAAACTGAGCTTGACTTGAGGACATGTTAGTTTGTTATGCCCCTCACCGTTGCAGTACCCACATCGCCTAATTTTCTTCTCGACCTTGTTCTTCGGCACTTCTTTTCGCTTGCGTTGTTTTCGTTGAGGGTCACGAACATTGTTTACTACAATGCTCTGGTTGACTGAATGATTCAAACCAAACGAGTTTTCTAATTCTTCTATTAGTTTTTTCATCTCATCTCTTGCGGTTTTGAAAGACTCGTCTGTCTTTGATGCAATGTAGCATAACCTACTTGACGTTGAACGTAGAGCAGCGAACCTTGCCATTTGCATCACTTCTGGAGACACATTCAAATCAACATAGCTGGGTGCAGAAGCCTTCGCATCATTAGTCCACCTACTTTGAATCAAAGTCCCGGGTAAATATGTGTAGTCCAATTGCTTCAAAATGTGAAGTTGATGGTGACACGGAAGTCCAACGGTCTTGAATTTTTTGCAGGAGCAAATTAGAGTTTTCGTACGAGAATCAAAACTAATTTCAAATTTCCTATTTTTTTCTGCGTACTTTGACAAAATATAATGTTGACATTCATCTGATAAGGACTTAATCTCTGCCTCAATCCGGTACAATGTCTCTCGTATAAGTTCATCTTGGAACACACGAAAAGATTCACGGGTAAAAATCGCAGCGGCATGGCTTTCAAGGTCTACCAGTTTTGTGATCTGGAAGGGCTTCGTATGGGAACTTAAGTAATCCGCTTTCAACTCGTTCATACGCATTCTACTAATTCCATCTTCAATTGCACGAACAACATCTAAATATGTCTTCTTGTGTTTCAGTGCAATAGCTAGTGAAGCATTCATAGACTCGCACCTTTGTATTGAGCGAATATTGGCAAAGAAATGACCGGTTAGATATGCTTGTGCCCATAAGTGTCGTGTATTTCCCTTCTCAATCACCCATGGATGCTTTTGGACGTTGAATTCTGAAACAATCGAACGCCATTGAATATCAAATTCCTTGGTTGTCCACCAGGAAGCCATGCATTTTGAGAATGTTGTTGTAAACTTTGGGTCACCAATGTTAGCTTGTGCATTGCGAGAAAGATGCCAAGAACATAATCTGTGCTTAGCATAAGGGATAACAGATTTGATAGCCCTCTGCATTGCCCTATCCCCATCGGTTACAACGGAAATAGGTGATTTATTCATCATGGCTTCTAAAATATTCTGTAGCACCCACTCGAAAGATTGAGACGTCTCGTCAGCGATTATGGCAGTGGCAAACACAATTGTGTTATGGTGATGATTGACATCAACAATAGGCATAATTGGTCGACCATACAAATTATCTTTGTACGTTGTGTCGAACGCAATTACATCACCGAAACATGTGTAATCCGATCTCGATGTAGAATCCGACCAAATAAGATTATACAATGCCCCCGATTCGTCTACCGAGTATGTCATAAAAACCCGGGATCATCATGTTTCTTATAATCAAAGTAGGCAATAAGCGCATTCACATCCCCATCGACGATTTCCTTTGCTTTACCTCTTTGAAGTGCATTGTAGAGGTCTTTATGTGTAAATCCAACATTATGATAGCCCCCTGCCTGCTGCGTTAAATAGTTCATTACTTGTGACGTGCCAACACCGACCTCTTTCAATGTTGTTGCCTCATCGATATCAGCCTTACTTACAGCTCTATTAGAACGCATAAATGGTGTCATAGCAGATGTGCACAATGCATGATTATGTTTCTGATCAGACTTACTTATAACCCACTGATCGTTTGTATTTGTTGCTGTAACTACGACTCTAGCCTTACATCCTGTTCTTGTGACTGGCGTATGAGCACGTTGATGATCAACAGTATTGACTTTTGATACTTGAAACCCTTCTTTGGAACAACAAAATTCTTGTGTCTTCAAATTCCCTTCCACGTCAAGCCGTGTTGTTCCCTTACGTGCACTAAACCCATGTTCCCGTACGAATCCCTTGTAAAAGTGCCAAGCTTGATCACGTGAACAGAAGAGCTGACCAACCAATCTGTCAGATTCATCAACATTATGTACTTCATGGCATTCCTCGGTTGGCTTAACATTGTCTACATCAGTATTATCCATGGCAAAAATTTTGTTGTGCAAGTTCAGTGCTCCAGGAGTTGATGGAGATGTAAGCAAAGGTTCATTTTGAACATGTTTCAGTCGTGCTGCTTTCAATAGGATGTGGCATTGGTAGTGGTAGTTAAAGGGTGGGTACACCATTAAATTCGCAGTACATATTTAGGTATGTACAATAACTACAAGTATATTATCATTAAATTTAGGTATGTACAATAACTACATATTTAGGTATGTTTGTTAACTACATATTTAGGTATATACATCTTTTGAGTGAGTTTTAAGATATTAATTTAGTAATTATAGGCGTCTAATGATTTATTTTTATGTTACGGTATATATTATTATTAAATTAAAAACAATAAACATATATATTATATATTTATTATTATCTTTGGTTAATGTTGTTAAATTTAAATTATAAATATTATTTTATAAAATATCAAAACAATCAAATAATTTTTTGTGTAAATGAAATTATTAAATTAATATTGTAGGTGGAAAACATGAAACACTGTTAAAAAAATTGAAACATAAATTACATAACTTTTAAAAAAAGTATCGATCCTTTTTATAAAAAGTATGGACACTTTCAATATAATAGGTAAACATATGATGTAATAGGTAGCGCTTATATAATGTAATAGGTATCGTTTATATAATGTAATAGGTAGTGGTTATATTGTAAAGTATCTATCCTTTTTATAAAAGTGTCCATACTTTTTTCACTGTGGAAAACATTAATTTAAGGTTATCTTTTGAGTGAGTTTTAAGATATTAATTTAGTAATTATAGGTGTCTAATGATTTATTTTTTACGTTACGATATATATTATTATTAAATTACAAATTCTAAATATTATTTTATAAAATATCAAAACAATCAAATAATTTTTTGTGCAAATAAAATTATTAAATCAAATTACTTTATTCCAACCATGTGACAAGTGTGACAACTCCATCAACTCACAACTCAGCTTTGAACTCAATCAATATTGTCTTTTAGCTTGATGGTTCATAAAGCATGTTACTTGAACAGTATGAATCAATTATGCAATTTTCATGTTCAATTTAACACTGCATTTCAAATTCATTTCATATGTAATTGGAGTTTGAATTTAAATTTCAATTTGAGTTTGAATTTCAATATATATTTCGGCTCCACTATAAATATTAGCCCAAGCCAATATGCATGTTATCATTGATTATTCCTAATTTCCATTGTTTTTTTTTTCCAACGTTTAAACGCGAGGGAAATCCCGACCATTGTATTTTTTGGTCAACTTTAAAGCGTCAGAAACGTTTCGGGCGTATGATCTGGGTGGTAAACAAATAGCAACTAAAATCATAAGTCCGAAATGCTTCTGAGTACCACCCAAATCATAAGTCTGAAATACTTCCGATGCTCATCAAAATCCAAAGCTCATATGGTGCCAAGCAAAAGGAAATCAAAAATCTCATATGATGCCAAGCAAAAGGAAATCAAAATCTACAACTTGAGTTTGAACATTGATATGATATGTTCAGTTGTTATCATGTTGGGATTTTCTCGTTTTTGATTGCTTGGATAGTTGTTCTCTTGCTTCTTCAAGTGTCCTTAGCTTGTAATTTATAGCTTGGAATGTGTTTGATGTTGTATATATTATTATTAAATTAAAAACAATAAACATATATACATATTTATTATTATCTTTGGTTAATGTTGTTAAATTTAAATTATAAATATTATTTTATAAAATATCAAAACAATCAAATAATTTTTGTGTAAATGAAATTATTAAATTAATATTGTAGGTGGAAAATATGAAACACTGTTAAAAAATTGAAACATAAATTACATAACTTTTAAAAAAAGTATCGATCTTTTTATAAAAAGTATGGACACTTTCAATATAATAGGTAAACATATGATGTAATAGGTAGCGCTTATATAATGTAATAGGTATCGTTTATATAATGTAATAGGTAGTGGTTATATTGTAAAGTGTCTATCCTTTTTATAAAAGTGTCCATACTTTTTTCACTGTGGAAAACATTAATTTAAGGTTATCTTTTGAGTGAGTTTTAAGATATTAATTTAGTAATTATAGGCGTCTAATGATTTATTTTTTACGTTACGATATATATTATTATTAAATTAAAAATTCTAAATAATATTTTATAAAATATCAAAAAATCAAATAATTTTTTGTGCAAATGAAATTATTAAATTAATATTGTAGGTGGAAAACATGAAACACTATTAAAAAAAATTGAAACATAAATTACATAACTTTAAAAGAAGTATCGATCCTTTTTATAAAAAGTATGGACACTTTCAATATAATATAATGTAATAGGTAAATTTGCAATACTATCGGTATAAATATACCGGATTACTTATAAAATAGGTAAATATAAGCGCTACCTATTACATTATATAAGCGCTACCTAGTATGTTATTGTACTTTATAATATTTCCGGTTAAATAATATAACATAACCGGTATAAATTTTAACCGGTCAATTGTTTAACCGGTCACGCCGTATATTAGCCGTTTTTTAGGCGCCGCACCGCAGAATTACCCACAAAACAATGTTTTGAAGTTGCACTTAATCCTACGTAATCTTACCTTGTTTATATGTTCTAGTGCTGGCTTTGGCTGTTGTTCCTGTAATTTCTGTTGCCGTTCGCCAATTTGGTCGCTTTGTTCGTGAACTTTCTCACAAGACTCAAGCTGCAGTTGCAGCAGCCTCTTCAATTGCTGAGGTTCGCCTGCCATTATAAAAAGCAGTATGCAGAAAATCTCTGTTTGTTTGAATTCCTGGAGTCGAGCCAAAACCAGTTGAGCCATTATACAAATCGTTTTGTTACATACATATACGTATACATATTCATGTGCATATACATGTGGAACCTTCAAACATATTTGCAGAACACAATTTCGAGCACTATTCTATCAATTATTGAGATTTTGATTGCCATAGTATCTTTTCTGCTGTTGTTTGAGGATATACTAGAAACTAGGAAGAATGTACCATGTATATTAAGATATCTTCTATCTATTACTTGGAATCAGGTGTGAGAGTCCGATAGGGGCATGTGTCTGACATGGACAATGTTCATTTTTTCCTTGAAGTTTTTTCCATGCATTTGAAGGGTCCTTAAAGGGTCATTATCGCCACACCTATGTCTGAAACCAACACTTAAAGCAAAAATGAAAAATCAAAGCTACTAGTATCCTATGCTCCCTTTTGTTGAAAATCAGATACAAAGTTCTTGTATTTTTGTTTAGGAATCATTAGGAGCAATTCGGACAGTGAGATCTTTTGCGCAAGAAGAGTATGAGATATCTTGTTACTCTCTGAAAGTAGAAGAGACAGTGGATCTTGGACTTAAACAAGCAGTGAGTTCCCTAGTGTTATTCAATCCCTCTTTTTTCCCCTCCTCCCCTGACCGATGCGGCAAATAATCTCATCTCTGATTGCAACAGAAAGTGGTTGGCCTCTTCTTTTGAGGCCTAAATGCTGCATATACATTGTCAGTTATTGTGGTAGTTATATAGGGAGCTAATTTGACAATCACTGGTTTAATGAGCCCCGGTGCTCTAACGTCCTTCATTCTTTATAGTCTCACAGGTGTGGCCCTTGTTGGCTATATTTATGAATAGAAATGTGTGTGTGTGTATTTCATCATCAAGTTTTCCATCCGTTGTGCTGGTTTTCTACTTTAATCAATTCGTTTGGGCTATTCGCACTGGCAGTTGGATCTTCCGTGTCCGGACTCTCAGGGTTATACACTATCGCAATGAAAGCTACAGGAGCCAGCAGGCGTGTCTTTTAGCTTCTGGATTGAGCCTCATCGATGCCGAAATCGGGAAATAAGTATCCATTGGGGTTAGTTCGCCCTTTGTTAACGATTCTTTTATATGAATATGATTGAAATCGATGGTGAATATCAGTTTCAGTCATGGATTGTGTAAATGGAAGTGAGTGCTAAAAGTGACAAAGCATCATTCTTTTGTTTCAGTGATCAAGATGGAGAAGTTGAGTTGGATGAGGTCTGGTTTGCCTATCCATCCCGTCCTAACCATATGGTACTCAAGGTATTCATCTGTTCGTACTTATCCTAGCAATCACGCAATGTCCTGATATGAATGATCTTTGTTTACTATTACGTGATGCATTCAGTTTTTTTCAGGGAATAACACTTAAACTGCAGCCAGGATCAAAAGTGGCTCTTGTTGACCCTAGTGGTGGAGGAAAAGTAATACCCTTATCCGAAGCTTTCACACTGTTTAGAAACATTTTCGGCTTATTTCCGAACACCATTGTTGTGGAACATTATACCATTTACTGTCTGCTGCAGAGCACGATAGCAAGCTTGATCGAAAGGTTTTATGATCCAATGAAGGGAAAGATTCTATTGAATGGGGTTCCTTTGGTAGAAATATCACATGAATATCTTCACAGAAAGGTGGTCTTGATTTTCCTAACTTCTCAAGTCAATCCAACAACCTCATAGATTTGGGGTTGAGAGTCATATCTCAATACCATGTCCTGGTATACGTCGGATGTGAATTCCGAACACGGGTACATCGTAACTCAGTTTGTGACTATCTGGATAGCATTAGAATATGATGAACATCCTTCTTTGTTGTTCTGATCAGCATAGTAAGCCAGGAACCAATCCTTTTCAACTGCTCGATAGAGGAAAATATAGCTTACGGATGTGAAGGCCAAGCCGATATTAATGATATCGGAAACACACCAGTAAGCTTTTTTGCATCTTCAAGACTATTACAGTCTATAGGAACCACTATGACATTTAAATGTTGAGAAATTGCAGAAAATGGCCAATGCACTTGAATTCATATCGAAATTCCCAGACAAATATCAAACTCATGTCGGAGAGCGTGGAGTACGGCATTCGGGGGGACAGAAGCAGAGGGTAGCGATAGCAAGAGCGTTGCTGATGAATCCGAAAATTCTCCTATTGGATGAAGCCACAAGTGCTCTGGATTGTAATACCCCAAATTTTGGCTAGTGACTAAAATGTAAGTTTTAAAAGTTTGGTGGCTAAAGTATAAACTTGTAAGAGTATATGGACAAAAAATGTAATTTTTAAAAGTTATATATTTTAGCCTGTAAATGAACATTTTGGCTTAAAACAAGAATTTTTGCGATAATCAGATTTTCGGTCCGAGATTTGTGTTAAAAGCTATAAAGTGATAAAGTTTAGTAGTGAAATCGGATAATCGGATCGAACTGAAATTTTACAAAAATTTGAAGGATGTTAGAAAATGGTTGGAATATTATTCTTATATTTTAGATAAGAGAAATTTAACTCATATCAGTATAATTTTTCATATTTGTTTGAACAGTTGACTTTTAGTAATTAAAATGTAATTTTTGAAAATTGCATGGCCAAAGTGAAAAGTCAAAGTCAAGTTGATTTATATTTGACCAAGGAATACTTTAATGGAGAATAAGACAATGACATTTGGTAATTATCAATATTCATTAATGGTAAAAATGGAATTTTCTAAGAATTGAATTTTAAATTCAATTAAATTGGTTTAGTGTAAGTGTATTAATTATTAAATACTAGAATAATCAAGATAAACAACTTATTTTCAGCCATTTTCTTCCATTTGTCCGAAACCACCAAGCTCACCAAGGTAAGAATTTTATTTTGATTTTAGAAGTCATACACTTGATTTTTGGATTAAGCTATTAGATAGATAATTAACCTACATTAAATTCTCTATCATTTAGTACCAATATTTCATGGTGAGGATGATTATGTATTGAGATTGAAAGTTAGGGTTTATATAGGGTTTATGGATTTTGAAGAATTGATGAAGGATTTTTATGTTTTTGATGTTAGTGATTAATCATAAAGTATGATGATTTAAATCATGTGTAAAGCCTTATGTTAGGCTTGAACAAATCAGGGTTTATGGAGATTGAATGGATCTTGATTTAATTTGATGTTAGGATGATTGGAAATGCATAAATTTAATGTTAGGAGGTTGAATTCATGCTTCAAATTAAATGGAAATCAAGCCCTAATTCACTTAGGGTATTCGACCATTAGGGAAATTTAGGGGGAGATGTTGAAATAATTCCTATGGTCTTGTATTGATATTAGAAGTGTTTCATGTGACTTAAAGATCAATTTGGACCAATTTGGAAGCTTGAATAAGACTAAGAGTTAATATACAAGTTTTGAGAATTGTGAGACATTATTGCAAGAATGAGATATTTGAAGAGTTCAATGCTGATTTTTAATATTTGAAATGCTGAAAATTTAAGTTAGAAATTTGATTGGAACCAAATTGCAAGTTTGGTAAAGTTTAAGGGTAAAATTCGAAGGGTCTCAATATTATAGGGACTTGATTTCAAATTTATTAAATGTGAAGGTATCATTTGGGTAAAATATTATAATAGTGCAAATTTTATGGACATGCTGACTTTTAAGTTCATCTATTGAGTTGGGATCAAATTTTAAGTTTATAAAGATGGATGGTCGAATTCGAAAAAGACTAAGAAAGTTTAGGATGAAAGTGCAAGTTTTTGAATGTTAAAGTATTGATTTAGGAATTTTGATAAGGTGTTGGAAATTTTAGAGATTAAAGTGCAACGATCTAAATGGTGAGGGATTATTATGAATTTATTGGAAAAGTTAAGGTGAATTCTAGAAAGAACTCATAATTAGTGGCTTTATTTTTTATTTGGCAAAAGTTGAAGAGTTGATAATGGAAATAAATACTTATGGAATTTAAGGAAATATTTTTGAGAAGTTTGAAATTACGATGGAATTACGATTTAACTTTATAATGATTTAAGTATCAATTTTATTTCTATCAAGTTTTATAATTACTTTTAGATTATGTTAGTTTGATACTAACATGTAGTATGAACATTCTATGTTATTATATGATGTCGTCAGACCACAGTAAATCTAGTGATTCGAGTAGCTCGAAAGGGAAGGAAAAAGTTTGAGATCGAGAAGGTTATTGTGGAGAAGATTCGATAGCAAGACAAAGGTGAGTGCATTTAATTTGTATTTATGTTATCGAACAAATATTGACTTGTGATGAGCCAGTGTCAGAATTACTACAATAAAAAGTGATTTCTAATGTTATATGAATTGTGAATCTAGCCTATATGTTTATTTATTAAGCTTATAGAATTGGGGAAAAGAATTAAGGATGCAAACTAAGGAAAGTTATCTAGAAATCCATGATTCAAACAGTAAGTTTAGAAATTCACCATAATTATATAGAAATGATTAGAGGATGAATTTTATACCGTTGGATTCGTATATCAGTCTAGTTTTGTCTAAAATAAACATCTACTAATTTCGAGGTGTATAAAAAATTATGAATTTTTAATCAAGAATAGGTCATAAAACATGGCAACAGATTTCGCTCAAAACGGTTTCTGTTAGTCAACTTTGAAAATTCGTTATAAATTGTACAAGTTGAACTAGAAGAATTTCCTTATATGGTTAGATTCTTATTCGAGTCTAGTTTGCATAGGTATTAATGGAATAATTTTTAAGTATGTATATTAATACAAAAAAATATTTTTTTGAAGGTAGTGCAAACTACCAGAGCATGAAATTTTGATAAAATTGGATAGTTGAAGCATTGAGAACAAATGATTAATTCTAAAGCTTAGTGAGACTTATATTTTGATTTATTAATCAAGTGTCAAAGTGGATTCAATTTACTTATTTAGCTATTTTGATTGAGGATGACTTGTGATAAGTCAACCTCGCATTACTTAAAGTATGTTTTCTATCTTAAGTATGGATTGTTATTTTCATAATGTTTATTTATGTCCTATGAATGTTTAGGGTACGAATTACCCAAATTAAGATTTTTATGAGAATGATTGGAAAATGATTCTGAATTGAAATATTGATTATGAAACGAACAATATATAATCTAAAAGTCAATTGTATGTTGCATTGAGAGTCGTAGGTACAATTGGCATGACATTAAGTGATTACTTATCAGTTATCAATTTCCAGTTATATGCACCGTTGGTGCTCATGTGATTATTGACACTGAAGTGCCTAGTGCGCTCCTTTCAGTTCTACTCACGTCCTTTATATTCTCATAAATATGTATTGAGCTATAAAAATAAACATGAAAGTTATGAATGACGTTTCAGTTAATAGAAATCATGATATTATTATTTTATTAGACAGAATATGAAAATGAAATGAAAAGTTCTAAAATATGTACGAATGACTAGGATGTGAATTTTTATGTTATTTGATATTGATTTACATAATTTTTGATGAAATCATGAGAGGATGATTTTTAGGTTTTAAGGGAAAATTAGATTGATCAGCTAGGTTCGAAAGTTTTAATGTTTTTATTTAAATTAAGTTTCATGTTATAATACTTTACAAAAAATTTATATTTTATATCATTTTAGTTATGTAGTTGTTTCACTAAGTTTTACTTAGCGTATGATGGTTTCATGCTTAGGTTCGAATACAGTAGATGACATAAATTGAGGAGCTTTCTAGCATCTTATGGGAATCAAACCTATCGACAATATTAGCAAGACATCTTAACTTTGACTTATTAGTGACATGTACATTATAATTGTTGGGTTGCTTTATCAGATTTATTTTATAAAGGGTCTGTAATAGTAATTTAGGACTGTTTTAATTTTAGATAATTTTAGCTATAATTGTATTTATGAATGAATATTATAAACGGTTTTAAAACAAAGTTTTAAATCAAGCAATATTAGACAGATGTATATAGATATGAAACAACATGGAATTGCCTAATTGCTGCATAGAAATTAGCCTTGTTTGGAACAATAAATTATTATGTTATGACTATGCATGCAAAAGAAATTACAATTTTTTGTAAGAAAAGGGTTTTTAAACCGCAACAAAATTTTAAGCATTTATGTTCAATAAATGTCTGTTAAGTTGATGTGACATCTTTAGTTCGTATTATGAGACGTATACAGACTACGAGTGTTACATGGACGCCGAAAGAGAATACCTTGTGCAAGTGAGAATATTGCATTATCCATATCCGAATCTTATTCATTTAAGAAACCATATTCTTAAATTGTTTAGTTCATAATTCTCGAGTCCTTTCCTCGTTCGAATATTGCATAGGAGCCATGGCTTCTCTGAATCTTATTGAAGAAACTGTGTTCTTAACTTGCTTAGTGTAAACACTAATTTTTTCATTTCATTTTATTATTATAAAATTATCATTATTATTCTATATTATATATATATATATATATATATATTATTTAAATAAATATTACAAGGTCCAACTCTAGCCCATTTTACAAAACATGGATGACCCAAAATGGTCCAGGCCCAAGCCTAACCCTAATGATACAGGGTTTGTATCATCTCATATAAACCCAGCCGCCATCAATTCACAGCCGTTGGATCTGGCCATGATCCAACGGTCCTGATGCTTCCAGAAGTAACCCTAGGGTTATGATAACCCTATGGACCACGCGCAGTCGCCTCCACGTCCAGCCGACGCTGCTGCTGCCATGCCTCAACCCTCACCGAGCTTTCCAGAAGCCAGTTGTCCCACCACATCAATGCTCTATGGTGAGTCACCGCCATAGCTTGGTGACTCATCGACAAACCTCTCTAGGACCGGTCCAAAGGCAACTCGATGGTGGCCTATAAATATGGCGACCGAACCTGCAAAAAAATATATATATATACAAACAACGACAGAGGGGAAGACAACAAAAACTAACACGAAACGAAGCAGGAACTACAACCACCGAGAGCAAATCAACACCAACACAGCAACATTCAACAACCATCAACCAATCGGAAAACAAAAAAGAAGAAGATAAGAACTTATCAGAGCCCAAAAGTCGTCTGAAATCACCGAATTTCAAAGGTAAAATTTTAGATCTACGAGGTTCAGGGAAATTTTAGAAAAAGGGGAGGCTGGATGTCTGCGACGGAATAAGGCGGTCGGCCGGTGACCATTCTCCCTCCGGTCGGAGACTTTTAGAGAGAGGGCAGAGCATTTGTTCATTCTCTCTCAGTTAGAGAGAAAATAAGAAGAGAGGAAATGAGGAGAATGGTCTGAAGGGCTGGCCATTCGGGGTTTATATACCCCTCCCAACGGTGTCGTTTTGGGTAGGGGGTATATGCGTAATTTTCCTATGGAAAAATCATACCCACAATACTCCAGGTTTTATAAAGTTCTATTTTAGTTACTGGAATTGAATTTTCATGCATTTTGATTTTGTTTTCGAATTTTATTTATTTATAATTTAGTCATTATCAGTGTTTATATATCTTTATGTTAGATATTAAATTTAGTCCCTTAGGTTTTAATAATTATTATTTTAGTCACTAGTTAATTAATTAGGGTAAATTACACTTTTAATCACTTAGATCTTATAATATTATGAATTAGGGTATCTAATTTTAATATGTTATAATTTAGTCAGTAGTTTTAATATTTTAATTTATTTTTAATTACTAATTTTATTGTTTTTAAATATGTAAGTTTTAATTTTATTTATTCATTGTTTAGTTATATTTTAATTTAAATGTTTATTTTTAATTAATTATTATTACTATTATTATTATTATTTAGTCTTATATATATATATATATATTTGTTTAAATAATAATATTTATTTATTTTTAATATCAAATAAAAGGGCAGTCTTAAAGCAACTAGATGTCCTATTCTGGTATTTTAAATAAATAAATATCTTACTTATAAAAACCAGAAAACACATATTGTTTTATTTAAATTATTTTCTTAGAAAAATAATCATATTTTAATATTTATATATATTTTTATATTAAGAAATGGGATGTCTTAAAGAACATCTGTAAGTCTTTTTATGATATTCTTAAATAAAAATCCTATTTTTATAAATTATATATATTAATTAATTTATTTTAATTATTTTTATAGAAATATTTTATTAATATTTATTTATTTTTTAATATTAATAAATATGTTGTCTTAAAGCAACTAGAAGTCTTTTTTCTGATATTTCTAAATAAATAAATATCTTATTAATGTATGTTCTTAAAATTATATTAATAAATTTGAAATAACATAATTAATAATTAAATATATTTTAAATTTTTAAAATTTCTAATAGTAGAGACAATTTATAATTAATGAATACCAATTTTGGGCGTTGTGGGAGTGCTAATCATTCCCCAAACGTAATTGACCACGAATCCCTTTTTATTATTAAAAAGAACGAATTTTTGGTTAAAATACAGATTAATTTATCTTTTAACTGATGTTTTCTTAAAAAATCTTTTAAAAGATAATTTTTAGGTATTCGACCTACCTGACCCAAAAGGCCGATGGCGACTCCTTAAACATTTTAAAAACCATTTATTCACATCACTTTTCCAGTCAAGTAAAAAAAATTGTGCCCGAACGAAAACCGGTTACGACACTTAGGCCATAATTTTCGAGTTCTCTCATATTTTGTGTAGGATGCCATGGATTCTCTGATGAAAGGAAGAACCGTTGTAGTGATAGCTCAGTTGCTATCTACGGTCCAAAGTGCAGATACCGTGGCGGTTGTTTCCGATGGACAGATTGTTGAAAGTGGCAATCACGAAGAGCTTCTTAGCAGTGATGGTGTTTACATTGCATTAATTCGGAGACAATTACAAGCACCCAAAACAAACTTGTAGTGTTATGTTACCCAAAAAAAATGTGTTTTTTTCCTACTAAAAATTCTAAAATTTATTTTGAATTAATCATTTTATTCGAATAATACATACATAATTATTCTATATTTTACAAGTATGATAAGATAATATAATATAGATTCGTTGGTATTGATTTAAAAGGATGGATTGTTTCATATTGTGAAAATTGAATCCAATAATTTTAACTTATTCGACACATTATCAAATACTCATAAAATCTCATATTAATCGAAAATTAACTTTTATAAGTGATTAAATATAAGTTTCGTACTCTAAATTAGTGATTGATTGAACTAAGATCTACCCACGGAGGTTGCAGGGTAGGAATGGTAACGGGATGAGTTGGGTTTTTGTATATATATATATATATAATATTAATCGAACCAAACTTTATTTATTTTATGTAAATTGATTTTACAGGAAAATGTTTTTCAGTATTTTGGGTTTTTGTATATATATATATATATTAACCGAACCGAACTTTATTCATTTTATATAAATCGGTTTTACGAAAAAAGTTTTCTAATGTTTGATAGTTGTAATTGGTTTTACGGAAAATATTTTTCAGTGTTTGACAGTTGTAATTGATTTTCCCAATGAAATTCATTTTCCTAATTCCTTTGTATTTTTTGTAAAATGTTTTACCATCTGATTTTTCGTAAAATATTTTCCTAACTTTTCACTTCAGCGTTTAAGCACTCAAAAAATTATTATTTCATTTATTTAATATTAATTTAATATTATTATAATATAATTTAATAATATTAATTTTTAATATTATATTAATATATACTCAGATATATTATAATAATTTACGATATTATATTTTTAATTTAGTAATATATAATAAATTATTAACATAATTGATATTATCTAATATTTTTATAAATATTATTAAATTATTAATAATGAGTAATATTAATTTATGCATTTAATATTAATATAATAATTTAGTACTATATTAATGAAATACTAATAATTAAAATTAAGGGTGTTCAAATGGTTAATTAAGTCACATATCGAATTAAATTATCATTAACCGAAAAAACTAAACTTTTTTAATCAAATCGATTTTAAATATTAACCAAACCGAACTTTATTCATTTTATGTAAATAATTTTCTATAAAATTAATTATAGTGTATCAAATAATTAGTGAAAATGGTTTACATAATATCATTAAAACACCGTAAAATAGTTTCCGAAAAATTGTTTTCCAAAAAAATGTAATTCATTTTACGCAAAATAGTTTTAGATAATTTATTTTACGTAAAACAGTTTTCAGGTAATATATTTTACATAAAACAATTTTCAGGTAATCTATTTTACATAAATTGTGTATTGCTTATGACCTCATTAAAAAGTCTCCCTACTCTTAAATGTAGGGAAAAAATACACCCACATAAAGGCACAAAAGGATACACGACAATTTTAAACTCGGTACAAATTACCCCAAGACGTTTTCCCCCCTAAAGTTTAAATCGTTACCTCATTTTCCCCAATCTGTTACTCTGTTAAAAAAATACGTGGGTAAATTACATATATAGTCACTCAACTATTCGTGCGGTTCTATTTTGGTCAGTCAAGTATTTTTATTTTCAAAATCATCACTAAACTTAAGTTTTTTTCGTTTGGGTCACCCAATTCGATTAGATTTATTTTTTAAAATTACAATATATATGAATTCATTTATATCACATATTTTTTTACTCAACACATAAATTTAATGTATAATAATATATAATATTATAACTTAAATAATATACAACATATTTAGTTGTTTGTAATTAATATTTTAATAAAAAAATGTTAAATATTAAATTATAATATTTACATTCCTATAGGTTCAACCTTTCTTCATGTATATGGTAAATAAATTAGAACCAATATTCTTCCAATTAAAAGAAACCAATTGAAGCTTGAACATTACTTAACATTTTTGTTTTTTAAGAAGAGCTATATAATACACTAGGCTGAATTTCCACTCGAGTTTAAAAACAAACCAGAACCATGCAAATCTTCTATCTAATAATTAGAAGAAAAGTATGTTATATTATGATGTAAATCAGGCCACCTTAATTGTTCTATGTCAAGAGATTCGAAGGAAAACATAATAAACTCACCAAAACAATTTTTTTGAAAAGTCACCAAAACATTAGAATGAGCAAGAACACATGATTTTTTGTTGGTGATAATACAAACATCTTGTAACCCCCTAGACGGTAGATTCGAATCCAGGCGGACACATGTCGTATATAGAGATCATTTTCAGATTCAAAACACACTTAAAATTCATTTCAGTAAATAAAATATGAATAATGTAAAATACGAATATATATATATATATATATATATACTAGAAGTTCATATGGAAGCATGGTCAAAACAAAATATCGGTATGCAAATATACACAGATGACAGTAAAACACATATCACCATAATATAACAGAGATGACGTAGAGAATATACAATGGTACAAAAATGGAGAATGGTCGAACCTCCTGATGCAAAGTCTGCTAGCCTACTGTTGGGTAATATCTGAAAAGTTAAAAATTAAAGAACGAGATAAAAAGCCAATGTACTTGTGGTATATAAAACATACAAATAAAATATTTTGATAAAATTATTTTATAACAACATGCTCTTTAAAAACATGAACACTACCCCCATTCAAACACCATAATGTATAGGTTCCCCTGAACCATAAACCCACATGTACGCCCGGCAAGGACCTTATGCTAATAGCATAAGGGCATGCGGTAAGGTCTTAGCCTGTGCACAAAATAGATGAGCCTACGGTAAGGTCTTACAAGTCAGAGACTAGGCCTAAAATACTTCATCCAATAATACTACCAATGATAGTAAATATGCATGAATTCGGTAAGTTAATTTAATAAAACATCAAAACATGTCATTTTTTTAGAATCATATACATAAATACGGCTTTTAAGTATCCTTGACTTATATTTTCCGAAAATGAAAGGTTGAAGAGAGAGAATATTGGCTTTCCAGAAATGGAAATTTGCTAATTTTGAGAGGGTTTTATACCCATCAAAAGAAAATGGTATAATTATGTCATAAGTCTTTGGCTTTTAAAACTTTTTGATTTGGGTTCAAATTTAGCTAAAGTTTCATTTTGGAATTTGAATTTTGGCAAAATTTTAATTTATTCCTTAGAATAAAAGTAAGAAAAATTTAACACCGAAATTAGGGTGTGACAACTCACCCCCTTAAAAGAAATTTCATCCTCGAAATTTACCTGGTCTGAACAGATGAGGAAAGTGATTCTTCATCGACTCCGACGATTCCCAGGTAACCTCTGCGGAACTGCGGTTGCTTTGTTGAACATTAACCATCAAAATCCGCCTTGTAACATCCCAAAAGGTCGGGTTAGTGACTAAATTGTAAGATTTTGAAACTTCATGTCTAATTTTGAAAAATTAAAAAGTTTAGGGACTTAATTATAATTTCTTTGTGTAGAACTAATTAGCAAAGAAGGAATGATGAAAGGGTATATTGGTCAATTGATAGGAAAATGAATTAAAAATTCATTTGGGATGTTTTATATGGCACGTGGAGTTAGAAGGAGAGAAAGAAATATCAGATAAGTCTAGAAGCCATCTTCCTCCTTTCTTCCTTCTTACACAGTGAGCTCCATAGCTAAGGTAAGAATATTTTTAGTTGGTTGATTCTTATAATTTATGAGTGGTTTTGATTATTGGAGCATTAGAAAAGCTTATAGAAGCTTAAAGAGAATAAAAACCTTAAAATATTTACAAGTTATAAGAGATTGAAAATAAAGGGTTTTTAAGTGATTTGATAAGAAAGAGTTAATAGCTAGATTTTGAAGTGAAATTTAACTTGTCATGAGTTGAAATAAAAAATTTAAAGTGATAGAAAGGATTAAGAACAAAGTTGAATATTTGGTATGATTTTTTTATTTCAAGTGTTCTAGATAGATACTGATGTTAAGATGAGTTAAAATGATATAAGATGGTTTGAGTGAGTATAGTTGAGTTTGAAGTATTGAAAGGAGTTTAAAGTACAAAGTTTATATAATTTTTGGTAATTTTATGGTTAAATGAGTGTATTCTAGGTAAGGGGTATCGGTATTGGATGAACAATACTAATACATCAAAGAAAAAATATGTGATAATTAGGTATGGGTATCGATACTGGATGAATAGTATCAATACCATAAGGTAAAAGTGGATGAATCCTTCAAGCAATATCGATACCGAAGTAGTAGTATCGATACCAGGGGTATCAATATCAATGTTTAAGTATCGATACCATTTTTAAATCTGAATTCTATAATGTTAAGAGGGTATCGATACCACAGTAAGGAAGTATCAGTATTGTACATCGGGTACCGATACTATTCATATATAATTGGTGAATTTAGTGCTTTGTTTAACTTATGTTATCAAGGATCTATTCTATTAATTCGAATTCTAATATTTATATCAATCGTATAATTGTGTAGATATTGAATGCAAGCAAGTTTCAGAAGAATTGACAAGTTAGAATTGATCAAGATAAGGATAAGTGTATTGCTTTGACTAGTGAGGCTAAGGTAAGTGCATGCTAGTATGAAATATGATCGTATGGAAAGAAGACTTGCGATAAGTCTATTTCCAATGTTTGATGGCATGATTTCATGAATACAAGAATCATAGTGATGGTTTATATGTGTACATGATGTACAAGTATATGTCTATATGTAACATGCATTCTTAGACATAATCTATATGGATATATGAGAAATTATATAAACTATGTGACTATGAGCTAGGTGAGTACATATCTATGTGATAATCTATGTGATATTATCTACGTGAATATATTAAAAAATGATATGAGCTATGTGAAATGGTCTATGTGACTACGTGAACATGTCTATATGATACTGAACTATGTGAATAATTGAAAATGTAAAATGTGTAAATGGTAAAGCCCATAAGTATGTGATTTGAGAGCTGT